CAACTACTAAACCATGAATGGGCAGGCATGAAGACTGGCCTCTTTGTTTTTAAACGTCTTCTTCAAAACCACCACTTTTCTCTGGCTTTAACACTTTGTAAAGAGTGTGTTGTTGTTTTTCTTGTGGCTGCTCCCCTCTGCTGGAATTGCCACAGCAAGCAAACTCACATGGGAGTTTTAGCAATCGTTTTATGACAGATGCCCTTTCAGATGCAACCAGTACGCTCTGAGCTGGGCTCAAACTGGCAGCCACAGGATTACAAAACCACAGCACTCACCTCTGAGCTACCCCCATTTGTAGTGGTAATTTATTTAATTTGAATTTTTATAGTTTTATTTGTTGTTTGATCTGATTTTATGTATTCTAATATTTGTATTACTTGGTTTTAATTTACTTGTGTTTTAGTTGTTTATTGTTCTGCGTGAGCAGTAACATTGTCCACTCTGTATAGCACTTTGGTCCTCTGTGGAATTTTAAAATGCTTTACAAGTAAAGTTGGACCGGATTGGATGTTTGACAAGTTTCATACATCAGCTTGAACTTTTTGTGCAACCAAACCATCCTTACCAGGGTTATGTATCACTCATATGGTCTGCTTGCATCCTATAATCATATATGGGACCATTAAATTGCAGGGAAAAAAGCTCAATCATTTACGTGAGTGAAATATGCTCTGTGTATGATAGCCAACCCTAATTTTCTCCTAACGTGTCATCTAAAATATTGCTCCTTTTCGTAAGTTATAAATCATTAAAACTGTTAAATTGGAACAAAAATGTTTGCGATATAAAACAAGTATTCTCTGGTTTCATTGTCAGATATGCATGAAGCTTACACCACCTGTAGTTTTAAACATTTCTCACTTATGTACATCATTATAACCAAATTATTAGGTGAGACATATAATGCGCTGTCATGTCATCAAATACCTGTGTGTAATCCTGGAGCAGCTTGGAAAGATTGCTACTTTCTTCTCCTTGTCTGTAAAAAGTTTTCAACTTGTCTAATATGGCAGACGCATTTTGTAAATAGTCATCATCTATTAAAAAAAACAGAGAAGCATCATTCAAGGTGCAAAAGTTGACGGATGGAGCTTCAACAGTAATTTCGTACAATGTTTTTAAAACTCGCTTATGGTAACTGGCATAGTCAAAAAATATCCAACAAACATTTTCAACGTTTTAACATTAAACATGAATGAAAACTATAAAACAATGTCAACAGGCGTAAATCGTATTTACATCTGTTTGGCAACTGTATTTTAATCGAAAGCATTAGCCATGAACCAAAAAACTGACATACTCCAAAGCCAATTATGATTTGCTGACTAATTTATGCTCTAACGTGGCTAAGGAACATATAGTTAATTTATTACCATGGCTGCGATTTGTCTATATACAGTTTTGCCAGACAACAGTTGTTGCTATGGCTGCAAGCTAACGTCTGGTTGAGTTAGCTAGTTTGCTGACAAGACAAAGATAATTTATGCTGCGTGCACGAGCTAACAAAAACGTGACGCTAAAAATAAGCAGTTTTTTAACGAATACCTTGTTTCTCAGCTTTTAAGCTTGAACACTTGATGTCCAGCTCAAATATTCTTCTTTCCAACTCAAAACCTTGTCGCCTGTAGTCGTCTGCCATGACTAAAAAGTATTTATCACGTGAGCAAAGGATTACTCACGTGTTCATAGAATGTCAGTGGGTCTGCTCGTTTACTACTTTACCAGCGCATGACCCGGTTTGAATCGATGACAGGCGGAGTTGCAATAAAAAAAAATCTTGTTTAAAAACTTAAAGTGGTGGTTAAATGTTTTGCAAATGTAAATGAGCCCAAGGTGGCTGACTTAAAACACTTTAATCGTATTCTGCAAATTCGTCGACTGTTATTTCAGGACTACAGTATAGTGATTTTCATCTCTAAGCACCCCTGTAGTGCATCGTGTTGTGTGTCAGCATGCATAATGCACGCGATACATTTTCTGCACAGTTAAGTGTTAACTAAAAAGTATACATATGACAATAATGGCAAAAGCACGATGGAGTATTAGGGTCACGCTAAGAAAAAAAATTACATTACAAAAAAAAAAGTCATAAAATTACGAGAATAAAGTCATAGTGTTACGCAAATAAAGTCATGATATTACGAGAATACAGTCATAATATTACGAGAAAAAAACTTGTAAGACGTTCCTGGGTCGGCTCGCTCCTGCTGTGGACAGCTTCCAATGCGAGTCACTGTGTTTATGAAGTAGTTCGTGATCACTTTTCGGCGTTTGTGAAATATTCCTCCATTCACATTATGTGACGACTAATTCGTCTCTGCAGCCATTAATTGAAATGCCATACGGCTTCAGTTTATCATAAGAATCCTTAAACCACAGTGCTGTGGGCCCCATGCTATTGCACTGTTGGCATAAACATTCATCATTTTACCACAGTTGTAAGACTGCTTTTTTGTGTTGGAGTTCTGATAATATTACAAATTTAGTCTCATAATATTATGACTTTATTCTCGTATTATTTTGACTTTATTCTCGTAATATTATGACTTCATTCTTGTAATACAGTCCCTCGTTTATCACGGGGGATCTGTACCTTGAAGCCCTGCAATAAGTGAAAAAACGCAAAGTAGGAATAGTAGTACTGTACAAGTAGTAAACAAAAATTCCATGCTGATCGTGCGGCTCATCCATCAATCAGCCAACTGTATGTCATGTCCTGTCTCGTTTTGAAAAACCGCGATAGAGCGAGTCCGCGATAAACGAAGTATATATATATGTATAATAGTTATATATATGTATAATAGCTGGAAGAAGTTCCTTTATGTTGAACACATTGGAGGCAATGTGTTCAACATAATGGTACTTCCTCCAGTTATTTAACAGTCAACAATGGTGTACCTCAAGGCTCAGTCTTAGGATCCACCCTCTTTACAATCTACATAGGTAATGTAGGTAAAAAACATCCCTGATGCATCCATACATGTCTATGCTGATGATACAGTTGTTTATTGTCGAGCTAAAACAGTTGATAAGGCTTTCCAGCTTTTGCAATCTGCATTTAACATCATCCAGGCTGATTTGCTCTGCCTCAAACTTGACAAAACCAAATCCTTTTTTTCAAACAGGAAGTCGGTCCCAGCAGTTCTTCCTCCGATTTTATCCTCAAATGATGTCCTCATTGAGTTTGTTGATTCCTATAAATATTTGGGTATCTTGGTCGACTCCCATCTCTCTTTTAAGCTCCATGTGGAAAACCTAATAAAGAAACTGAAAGTTAAACTGGGTTTCTTTTTCAGAAACAGATCCTGTCTAACTCTGAGTGCTAGGAAACGTCTTGTATCTGTGACTTTCCTTCCCTCCATTGATTACGGTGACATTATTTACATGAATGCTCCTACAAGAACCCTGCAGATTTTGGATGCTGTCTATCCTGGTGCACTAAGATTCATAACTGGCTGTGATTATCTTACCCACCACTGCACCCTGTATTCACTGGTTAACTGGACATCATTAACTTCACGCAGACTCTCTCACTGGTACATTTTCATCTTTAAATCACTTCTTGGTCTGTTGCCTTCATAAATCTCCTCCTTCATGTCTCTGCGTGAGTGCAGCTACAGCGTACACTCTCAGGACATTATTACCTGCAGTGTTCCCTCAGTGCGGACTGAACTTGGCAAAAGGGCCTTCTCCTACTCCGCTCCTGTTTCCTGGAATATCTTACAAAAACATTTGAAGTTCTCGACCTTTAGTGGCTTTAAAAATCTGTTGGACTCCTAGTAAGGACCAATGCAGACATGTTCCTGATTTTAGTTTTCTACATTCGCCTTATAATCTAGCTGTTTTGTTACTCTTTTTGCCATCTTATTTGTAAAAAATAAAAAAATTAAAATCTGTATGCAGGGCAGCACGGTGGCGCAACTGGTAGAGCTGCTGCCTTTCAGCAAGCAGGTCCTTGGTTCAAACCCTGGTCCAGGGGCCTCTCTGGGTGGAGTTTGCATGTTCTCTCCGTGCATGCGTGGGTTTTCTCCGGGTACTCCGGTTTCCTCCCACAGACCAAAAACATGCATGTTAGGCTGACTGGTAACTCTAAATTGTCCCTAGGTGTGAGTGAGAGAGTGAATGGTTGTTTGTCTCGTTTGTCTCTATGTGGCCCTGTGATGGACTTGCGACCCGTCCAGGGTGTATCCCGCCCCTCGCACAGTGATTGCTGGACATGGGCACCAGCGACCCCCGTGACCCAAAATGGAATAAACGGGTAAAGAAAATGGATGGATGGATGAAATCTGTATGCCTTTTTATAACTGTTTATTGTTGTCGCTGTTGTCCATTGTTATCATTCTTTGTTGAAATCAGGTCTCTCTTGTAACTGAGTCCTCGAGGCTCAATGGGATTTACCTGTCTAAATTAAGGTTGAATGAATGAATGAATGAATATGACTATGAAGCTACGGCTATCCCTAATGCGCATGCGTAAACTCTGGCAGCACGGTCTCATGGAGGCGGAGCTATGTATAGGGGCGAATCGAAAATAATCCATAAACGCATATGATTTATTAAAAGTATTTTTATTCTTATAAATTGCTACCTTAGTCTTAAATTGTATGTTTTTAAATTACATTGAGGATTAATTAGGTAGGTGCCGCCCAGCTCAGAGCGGACTGGTAGTGACAGGGTTAAATGCAAATTAGACAACCGAACCATAAACCTCGCTGACCAGTGTGGAGCGTGTGAGCTAGTTGTGCTACTGTTCACATTTTATGACCTTCCCACTTGATATCAACTACCTGGAGGTTTCACTCTGCCCCTCGTCGATTTAAACTGTGTGTAGCTCCAAAAACATGGCGGCCCTCAAAGCTTTTTGCAGAGCAGAGAAAGCACTCTTCAAAAACCTCGCAGGTCTTCGCAGAACCGAACTAAACTTCGCTAGCCACCAGTTCAGCAAGGTCTGTATTTAAACAAAGTTCATGCTTCGTAGCAGAGAAGAAAATGTGTGTCTGGGCAAGAACTATACATGTCACGAAGGGCATCTCTAGGAAAATGCCATTTGCACATTGATTACGTGTTGCTTCTTCACGTGTCCTCCCAAATACAAACGGCACAAAACTTTTAGTGAACTTAAATATGTATTTATCTTGTTTAGGCTTGTCATGTTGCGTTCAAGGCACAACCATCATGTGCATCATCAGCCAGCGGCTGAGTCTGTTTGTCCTGTAAATAATGAGAAAACATCAGCAAGTCTTGCCTGAAATGGACCATCACCGGTTTAATTTTAAACAATTGCTGATTTACATTAAGGATTATAGAAGTGAGCTCCCAGTTCAGCTGCAAACATCCTCAAATCTTTTGTTGTATGATTTAATCTAGCAGTTTTATTCCTCCCCTTCCTACACAGACTGGAATAATAAGCAAAAGCACACAATCTGAACCTAAGTGCAGTTCTTATTTTAGTACAGTTAATATGACAATTAAAAGGTCAATGCACTTTCCTGCTTTACCTCTTTCAGACTTGTGGCTGTTACTTTTCCACCTCCAGCATCAAAAGTTCAAAGTTCTACACAGATCCTGCAGAGGCAGTAAAAGACATCCCCAATGGAGCCACCGTTTTAGTTGGAGGTAATAATCGTCCGCTTAACAAAAAAGGCTTCACGATCTGTTGGATGGTCACATGCACAGATAGGTGCATGTAAAAAAACCCCACAGGAGTCAGTAAAAAGTGATATTTCTTCACAGAAGAATGACGTCATGCCGGTCGGTTTACATCCAAGCACAAGAGTGTGCGAAACTTCCACAGCTCTTATTTATAGTCAAGTTCAGAGTGACATTGTTAAGCATTTTCCATTGTGTCACACTTAGATCTGAAAGGACAAACAGAAAACGGACTGACTGAGCATGAAGTTAGAAATCTTGACCCACAGGAGCAGAATGTAGAGTGTTTTGCTCCAGGTTCACTGGACTTTGGGTTTTCCTGTGTGGTTTGTAGTAATAAGAGATCGGCTATTTACACCACAAATTTACCATGCCCTTAATCTAATAGGGGAAAGGTGAACCTCATTTGACACTGATTTGTTGCTGCATTTTTTGCTTTTGAATTTTTATTTAGTGTCATCAACTATTCTTTATATTTCAATGCAGGTTTTGGATTATGTGGTATTCCAGAAAATCTAATCAACAGTTTACTGAAGACTGGAGTCAAGGGTCTCACTGCCGTCAGTAACAACGCAGGGTACGTGTGAATGAATTGTCAGAAATATACACATGAAAATCACGAGCGTTCAATTTAATTTACATTTATATACATTTTATGGTGGCATCACTTAGTACTTGCAGAATACATACCTGATACCTATGGGGACGGGGCTGTGGTATGAAGTGACTTGTTACCTTGTAGTTACTGGGTACTCTTAAGTACCCTGTATGCACTGGGCTGTATTATTTATTGCTACATAGTCATTTTGTATCCAACATAATACATTTTTATTTAACATATTTTTCAGTTGTATCCATTTACCTTTAAAAAAGTACTAAATAATAGGTATTTTTTGTGCATTACATATATATGTAACCTCTTGTAAAAAGTAAAGCCTTGCACGAACTTTATTAAAATCAAACAAAACATAGCAAAACGTTTCAACATACAAACACTTAATGCTGAAACGTTTTGTACAAGAGCAACAATATGACTCCTGCGTCCCTAACTTTTAAACCCTTTGTTGAATTATCAAATTCTCACTACAGTGTCTTAATTGAACACATCAAACTTAATACTATTTTTTATCTTTTCATCAGAGTGGATAACTTTGGCCTGGGCTTGTTGCTCCAGACAAAGCAGATCAAGAGGATGATTTCCTCTTACGTCGGAGAAAATGCAGAGTTTGAGCGGCAGTATTTGTCAGGGGAGTTGGAGGTGGAACTTACACCACAGGTTGGTTAAGACGCACACACTCGCACACACTTTGTATATTAATAGTCAAATGGTAAAGGGTACTTAACCTTACCTTTTTAGTCCAAAATATGTGTATTATATAGAAAGCCAAGAGTTTGCAATGGTCCAGGAAAGTTAAAGGAAGGCTTATTTGCAGTAAATGTGTGCGTGAACAGATGTCTTTTTATTTCCAGGAAAGTACGGATGTGATTTGTACTAGATGTTCTACCAAGCCAAATTTGGGGGTTGTTATTGTGCTCAGGACAACGTGACCTGGAAAAACACTGACTATGAGTGTGTGTGTGTGAAAGACAAGCATGTGTGATGTAGGTTTGGAAGATATATACTTATACTCTCCGATTCTTCAGAAACGGAGCAATTTGCCGTGTTCTCTGTACGGAAGATTTTCTGTAATAAATCTCGTTTTGCCGTCTAAAAAGTCAGTATGTTATAGTCATGAAGTACCAAATACACTTCAGTACCAGCCCATGAACATAAATTCTCTTGGCATCTTTGTAAGACGGCGGATATGATGATAATTGGATATAAAATGTGACTTAGAGCTGGAGATGTTTGTATCGCAAGTTTAGTCAAGAAATTAGCAACATACCTGGTGGAAATAAATGTTTAACTCTCAGTTTAAAATTAGCCTCTTCTTTTCACAGGGTACTCTCGCAGAACGGATCAGGGCAGGAGGGGCTGGGATTCCAGCCTTCTTCACAGCCACTGGCTATGGCACCTTGATCCAAGAGGGAGGCTCTCCTATTAAGTACAACAAAGATGGCAGCATTGCCATTGCAAGTGAAAAGAGAGAGGTGAGAGTGCCGTCATCCCTGCTGTGTCGTGCTTCACTGTGATCGTGAGTGACTGCTGCACCTCTTCGTTAAAGACTTAGCAGTTCAGCAGCCACATTGTGCACTTGTGTGTCTGTATCCTCACTTTTACGTTAGAACAAAAGGTTTTATTATTTTGTTGTTACTGTTTGTTGTACTCTTACAATAACCACAGCTCACACAGTAATGATAACTGTTTATCACTACAGACTTTAAGTACTACAAAAACCTATGAGAAAAGCTCATGTTGTTGAGAACTCTTTCAAATTAAAATTCAATTCAATTTCAATTCAGTTTATTTATATAGCGCCAAATCACAACAAAGTTGTTTCAGGGCACTTTACAGGAACATTCACATACATAAAAGCCAATTAGTAAAGTTCTCTATCTAAGGAATAAAATGCAAATATGGGTGATCTGATATTCTTTTTACAAAATTAATTGGTTTATTTGTGCAACAGATGGTTAGATGAGAGGCTACATTGTTTTGGGCCTGTTTTATGACTTTACAGTGTTAGCAGTGAGCTTAATGTTAACCTCCACTGCACCAAGAAGCCCTGATTTGAGACCCATGTATTTAATCCTGAACAACAACAAAAAACCACTGAAAAGCATTTTCTCTTTGTAACTGCACAATTATGGCACTAAAGTACAGTCTTCATACACTGAGACATGTTTTCATTCAAACTGTTGTTACTCAAACTAAACTTTGGTTCTTTGATAACAGGGTGAGATGTTTCTAGTGTGGCTTGGTGCGACCAACCATGGAAACTTCAGGATGTGTCTGAGACAGACCAGTTGAGCCATGCTCAGTGCTCTGTCCACATCAGACTACCATGGTCAACTGATCAACCCCTACTCATTCAAAAAGGGTTTCTTTCCCTGCCCATGCAAGAAGGGAAGCATTGATGAAACATCTCACTCTGTTATCAGTGAATCAGGGCTTACATTTAGTTATCCAATGTTCTTTTCTGACTTGGCTTGGTGTTTCACTATGGGTCATTTGGCCCACTCCCTTATTGCATGAAAGTCCAGAAGCACAGCACAGATATCCTAGAAAAATACTCCTTGAAACAGAACCCATGACGTGGTCATGCTCCTTAAAGGCCATCTGGACTATTTGTGATTTTTGTATCCTTACATCTGTAACAGACCTATGGTTTCCACAATCCTGTTTGCTAACCTCGGCCATGATACTGGCTTGTCTTCATGAGCTGTGGACCATGAAACAAACAGCTGACCATATTTCCTGAACGTGGTTGTCCTGTAAAATTAAGCTCAGCGTCCATAAGGGGTACAGAGAGTTACAGCTTCAGTCCTCCTCTGAGGAGAATATAGGTGGGCGGAAAGTTACCAGCTCCACTGAAAAACATCTGTACAAAGAATCCATAGAGCCCAGTGCCCACTGCAAACAGGAAGGATAGATGGATAAAGAATGTGTACAACATAGATGCTTTTATCTGTGGTTAACTAAGAGCAGAGCCATCGTAAAGGAAAGACATGTCATTCCTTCCCTCATCCACACGTTTAAAAGGATGATTACAAAGGGTCTCCATCACCACTAACTAAGCCCATGGCTCAGTGTGCCATATTGTCTGAGCAAGGGTGATCAATTTCTCCTCTCGCCTGAGACTGAAGTGCCCTGCGAATAGAAAGAGGCCATAGTTCCTCTGACAGCATCGGAATAATCTCTGCCACCCAGGGCTTGGATGGCCACCATGAGGCCACAAAAATCAATGTTCTCTCACTCTGCTCAGTGTAAGAGAAATCAGGCTGAGAGGTGGGAAAGCATACAGCTGCACAGACAGCATCCAGACCGGAGCCAGACACTGCGTTCAGCAACATGTTTCTTTATAGGATGCTTGAGAACTGTTAAGCAGCTAACGGAGCTAGCCTGAACATGCTGAGGAAGTTTAGATTAAGTTTCTCACAGGAAGAAAGCGAGAATAAGTGGGATGGCTCAAACAGTTTGTCTCAAGGTCAAGGAGCTCCCGTTTTTAATTTTTTTTTTTTTTAACCAAGGCGGTTCCCATAGTGAAACACCAAGCGAAGTTAAAAATAGAGCCCTGAATTTATTTTAAAAGGCTATTACAAATTATAATGACTAGGTACTAGCAAAAATAAAAGGTCTGAAAATGTAACCCACTTTCTCACTTTTGGAAATGATGTGCACAGGTGCGGGAGTTCAACGGCAGGCACTACATCATGGAAAAAGCCATCACTGGAGATTTCGCACTGATCAAGGCTTGGAAAGCTGACAAGGCAGGAAACATTGTTTTTAGGTAATCGGTTAAATGAATTACAGTAAAAACGACAAGGGTTCAGTCTTGCGTTGAGGCAAAACAAAAGATTCAGGCTCGGTTCGTCTTCAAAATTCCAACAGCCATCTGGTGGACTGTCAGCGTTTTCTTCAGGTCATTTTTGTTGTGTATGTAAGTGCTAAAAATACAACTGCTGGAACAAGAAGATTCTTGTGACTGTTGATGCGAAGCATTTTACCATGTGGTGACCTTAGCAGGTATAACCACAAACAACAATTAAAATAGAACAAATAAGTTGAGACAATTTATATGTTGTGCATTTTGGACTTTTAAAGCTAACAAGTTAGTGGAGAGGACCTCAACATACTTTTTGAAGAACCTGTATCAAGTAGTTATTGTGTTCAATTGAAAGAAAATGTATAATTGAAAGGGGTTAAACATATGTATTTATAAAACACAATATAGGAGGGTGTACAAAGAACATATTACTAATTCTGTCAGTTTATAATATTTTTAGGTCGTTTTATTATCTGCCGTAAGTATTTTTTAACTAAATCAACACATCAATATATAAATAGTGCAGTTACATTTGTTTTCCACAAGAGTGCAGTATTCTGCAGTAAACGCTCAACTTGTTCTGAACATTGTACTGTACAGCAAAATGAACCTTTAAAATTGATTTATCTCAAATATGTTTGCTTAAACATTTTCTTAAATAATTATTTTTTATAATATGCCTGTTTTGTTCTTGTTTGTCACAGAAAGACAGCCAGAAACTTCAACCAGCCCATGTGCAAAGCAGCCCAAACCACTATTGTCGAGGTATTTCCAATAGGTTGACCAAATGTCACGTCTGTCTGGATCACAGGTTTTACACATTTGTATTATATTTTACAATACCCCTTTTATTTCCTTGTACCAAGAGTGTGACTTGGTAAAGGGTCAGTAAGGCAGGGCAGCCGACTTGAGACCCGAAAGTCCCAGGTTCAATCCCCAGGCATTCCCACATGTTGTGATGTCCTTGAGCAAGCCATCCAATCCCCAATTGCTCCCCGGGTGCTTACGTAGCTGCTGCCCACTGCTCCACCAGGTGCAATGAGTTAAATGCAGAGAACCAATTTCGCCATTGTATGGAACATACAATGATGACAACACATAGCACTTTATTTATTTATTAACCTCTGAGATTGACCACTGCTTAAAATATTTTCCGTGACACAAATAAGGTCTTTATTGGGGTTAAGCCTTGACCTCCGTGATGACTAATCCATGGGTCAAAATGATGTCTCAAGCTCTCTGAACCACACTTTCACAGTCTGGGCTCAGGAAAAAACATCTTGGATAAAAAAACAAAAATCACCACACACTGTCTTATGATATAAAACACTTATTGCATCATTTGCACAAATTATAAAAACGTGCAACCTTTTAAGAAACTGGTTGTAATTTATGGTCTGATTATTCATCATGAGAACCCATCAGTGTACAAAAACTGCTGTATCTAAAGCTCATCAAGAACAGTAGAAAGGGCTTTATTTTTTTATGTGGGTCTGTTTAAGTCTTGAGGATGGTTCAAAAATAAATGTAAGACATAAGACAAACCTCTTTTTGTTGCAAACTTAAAATAATTTATATATCACTGGAGTCCTTGGTTATTATGGAAAAAATATATATGTTGGTCAATAATAGAGAATGTCGTGTCATCTCTGAGCTGTCCATGATATAACTGATAACTGTCTGGGTTTTCACTTGTCTAGCTTTTGACAGTTGGGAATTGTGAGCCATCTCCTCCCTGTGTGTGTGTGTGTGTCTCCTGATCATCTCCTACACACAAACACCTTCACACCTCCCTTATAGACTCTGCTTGATTCAGAGAACAGCAGGGAGGAAAAACTGCGTGTGTGAAAAACCCCCAACATAAAATAAGGAACACTTCTGAAAATAAATTGGAAAGCTGAAGCCTCTTCTAAACCTGAATTCCACAAAGAACATTTTCAATTATTCCAGGCATGCTGAACCTGAGATTTGGGCTGCTGTTGATTAGAAATGTCTGAAAACGAGGAAAGTAATTTGTGTCACCGTGGAGCTTTTCTGTGCTTATCACTGTAAACCAAATTTTCTGGTTGTTCAAGCACAAAGTATTAATTGAAATAACTTCTTGATTTCAGCTATTGGACTCATTACAGGGCTGTTGTGGTCACAGTCTTGCCATTTATGACCTGATAGATTGTGGGAGTCTGCTTATGGATTCAAAATCTTCTGCTCAAGATGTTTTTGGTGACTAAAAGAACTGTAAAAAATAACTCTCATGGATTAGAGAACCAGCTTGCATTTGGCTGCACAAATAGTGCCCCGCCTCAGTATCCAGGTGGACTGTACAGCTTGTTTTTCTTACATTTCTATTTTCAAACTGCCACAAATGGCAGGGGTTAAAGGTGAACAAAGGAAAACAAATTATTTTTCTATCATCAACATATGCTCTTTATTTAAAAAATATACTAGACATGCGTGTAGCCTGAAGAAATGCTACATTGATCATTAAATTACACAAAAATCACAAAATGTGTAGGTAAGAAATCTTTTATTTGATCGTTTGAACTCTAAATTTATTTATTTTAACTAAATAAATTAAAATCATTTGAAGATTTGTCACCCCTCTTCAATCTTGTAAAAAATTCATCAACATCTCAACTAATTTCTTAAATTGGGTTGAGCAAATGTTGCAGAAGTGCAGAACATGGGCATATTTTCCACTTGACTGGAATACTGACTGGTAATGGTTTTAAAAGTAAAATTATTTAGAAAACATGAACATTAGGAACACATTTAGTTAATATAATTATAAAAGAATTTGTTTTTTAGAAACCTTAGCTTTTCTTCAATATTCGACAAAAAGCTAGTTATTTGGAGCAGCATGGTGGCGCAGTTGGTGCATCTCGGCGAGAAGGTCACTAGATCAAATCCCAGCCAGTGGCCTGTCTGGGTGGAGTTTGCATGTTCCTTCTGTGCATGCGTGGGTTTTCTCCGGGTATTCCAGTTTCTTCCTGCAAACCCAAAACATGTATGTTAGACTGACAGGTAACTCTTAACTCTAAATTGTACCTGGGTGTGAGTGAGGGAGAGTGAATGGTTTGTCTCTGTCTCTGTGATGGACTGGAGACCTGTCGAGGGTGTCGCCGCCTCTCACACAGTAACTGCTGGACATGGGCACCAGTGACCCCTGCGACTCGAAAAGGAAGAAGCGGCTCAAGATAATGGATGGATGGCTATTTATTTATTTATTTATTTGTTGTCTGCTCTGAAGGAAAACGGCAGATGCTGTTTTTTGCGTGCTTGTGCTCGTTTGAGTTTTCTTTGCAGCATTAGCAACATATCTCAGTAACTGGAGCACATCTTTTAATTAAACTTTCAGAATGAAATTGGTAGACAGGCATTCTACATTTTTAGTGTGTACATACATACATATATATATATATGTGTGTGTGTGTGTGTGTGTGTATGCATGCACATATATAAGATGGCTGCACAGCTAAATAAACAGCGAGCACTGAATTCAGAGTCCGAGTCAGAGATTCTTTGTCATTCGCACCACATGTGGTACATGTGGTGGAGTGAAATTATGTACACAGGGTCCCAGTTACATCCAACAATAAAATGTAAAAGAAAAACAACGATAACATCTAAGATGTGAACGAAGAAAAACATCAACTAAAAATGCACTAAGCACTAATAGCATAAAAGCATTACATTGAAGAGCAGCACGAACATGAGCATGAGACTGTGTGAGCAGATGAGCACGCGTGAACACAACATGAAACAGATCAGCAGCAACATTGGCTATAATCCAGCAATTTTACCCACATTAAGCTAAAATTTGTTGAAGTAGTAGTAACTTAGTCATATCCAACATGTAATAGACTCACGCTTCACATTACACAATATTTTTGCTCAAAACTTTGGCATTGATTGTCAGCCTCAGGACAGACTCAGAACTCATGTGAGGGATTGTGTGTCCTCTCTGGCCTGGGAACACCGTGGGGTTTCCCAGGAGGAGTTGGAGAGTGTCGTTGGGGAAAGGAATGTCTGTCTGGGTTTCTCTCCTGGACCTGTTGCTTCTGTGACCTGACATAGAAGATGGAGACGCTGGCATGAAAGACAGCTGACATTTTATTTCCTTCAAATAACTAGGCCTCTGAATGTTTTAGTTTGAAAGACAAACATAATCACAAATAATTTGATAACTATTCATCTCAATAAAAACTAAGGTTTTCCACATAGTTCAGGTGAATAAATCTTATTTGTGCTTATTTACGTAGAAAAACAAAACCGAATCGGTCTCCGTACTATGCTGACCTTGTAACATTTTCTTCCCCCTCTCTCATTAGATTAGGATTAACACTCATCAATGAGCAAAATGTAACCATTGTTAGAAACTGCAGTTTGATTTGTTGGCCGAGGCTTACAGCCCTGAGGCGTTATTTATGGTACTGTTTTATGATGCTGCAGGAAGCGTGAACATTATCTATAACAAGTTATACAGGACTATAAAGTGATAGGCCTGCACTATAATACCCATTAAAAACCTTTATCTGTGACAGTGATGCAGTTGCTCTCTCTGCAGAGATAAATTTTTCTTTAGATTTCAAGGCGTGCTTTGCCATAAATTTAGTCACTTGTAAATATTGACCCTTCTGTCTCCGTGCACTGAGCAGCAGACGCTATCAGCTGTGTTTGAACCTGGTGACTTGCTGCTCAGCAGTATGGTCCTAGACAATCAAGAGCATTTGTTGAACCAGAGCTCATCTTTGTAGCGTTAGTTTGTATACAACCAGAAAAGAATTAATTTATCTAGGACAATTAATGGTTGTGGAAGGATGGAAAAACGTCAAACTACAGTAATCCCTCGCTACTTCGAGGTTCGTTTGTCGCGGATTTGCTATATCGAGGTTTTTCAAAATAAGATTGGACTTGATACAATTGGTTGATTGATAGATGATCCATGGATTGTTTATTTAAAATAAATTTATTTAAAATGTTTTTGCACCTGTGTGCAGCCCACAAGCAGGGGGAAGCTCCCTCCTGCAGCCTGTCATGATCTTCACTCTCTGCCACACATTTCTCCTGTTGTATCGGTTTAACCCTTTGCTGTCCAGATGCACCGATCGACTTTTGTCTTCCAACTCAAAATTCAAAGTACTGTTGTATGTCACATCGTAAAATCGTCATAATCACAAAATATAAAAGTGTTAAAAGTTTTTAAAAATTATTTTAAAACTTCTATGTTCAGTTGTTTCAGTGTAATTGATCAAGAAGTACATTTCTGCTCTGTGCTGCAGAGCTGCGTGATGTCCTGCTGCACTTCTCTACAATTTAAATTTAAATACTGTAATATTTTAAATGAACAATCCATGCTGCATGGATTGTTCATTTAAAATATTAGAGTATTTAAATTTAAATTGTTTATTTGAGGAGGGAGATTGGGAGTAACAGGTGATGAGTGAGTGTGATTGCAGCCTGACCCACGTCATGACAAAGTTTACTGTACTTGAACTGAACTTGGACTACTGTCTCCCTACTTCACAGTTTTTCACTTATTGCGGGTGTGTGTGTGTGTGTGTGTGTGTGTGTGTGTGTGTGTGTGTTACGGAACACCCGCAATAAACGAGGGACTACTGCATTGCAAAAGGAGCCAGACAGGATTGATAGAAACAGCCTGGTTATTATTTTTAACCACAACCATCCAGATGATGCAAATATAAGTACTTAAAAAAATCCATATAGTTCACTTTGGGATTAGGTTCTTTATTCAGAATTGATGATAT